CCACAAGGTTATATGAAGAGGCACAATGTAAAGTCATATGAAAATTATCAGAGATTTATCTACAACTGTTGACTCATATCCAGCTTCTCGTCCACTGTGACCCCTAGGTCCTTTTCTGCAGAACTGCTGCCTAGCCATTCGGTCCCTAGTCTGTAGCAGTGCATGGGATTCTTCCGTCCTAAGTGCAGGACTCTGCACTTGTCCTTGTTGAACCTCATCAGGTTTCTTTTGGTCCAGTCCTCACATTTGTCTAGGTCCCTCTGTATCCGATCCCTACCCTCTAGTGTATCTACCACTCCTCCCAGTTTAGTGTCATCTGCAAACTTGCTGAGAGTGCAGTCCACACCATCCTCCAGATCATTAATAAAGATATTAAACAAAACCGGCCCCAGGACCGACCCTTGGGGCACTCCGCTTGATACGGGCTGCCAATAGACATGGAGCCATTGATCACTACCCGCTGAGCCCGATGGATCTAGCCAGCTTTCTATCCACCTTACAGTCCATTCATCCAGCCCATACTTCTTTAACTTGGCGGCAAGAATACTGTGGGAGAGCGTATCAAAAGCTTTGCTAAAGTCAAGGAATAACACATCCACTGCTTTCCCCTCATCCACAGAGCCAGTTATCTCATCATAGAAGGCAATGAGGTTAGTCAGGCACGACTTCCCCTTGGTGAATCCATGCTGACTGTTCCTGATCACTTTCCTCTCCTCTAAGTGCCTCAGAATTGATTCCTTCTGGACCTGCTCCATGATTTTTCCAGGGACTGAGGGGAGGCTGACTGGCCTGTAGTTCCCCGGATCCTCCTTCCCTTTTTTCAAGATGGGCACTACATTAGCCTTTTTCCACTCATCTGGGACCTCCCCCGATCGCCATGAGTTTTCAAAGATAATAGCCAATGGCTCTGCAATCTCACCCGCCAACTCCTTTAGCACCCTCGGATGCAGCGCATCCGGCCCCATGGACTTGTGCTCGTCCAGGTTTTCTAGATAGTCCCGAACCACTTCTTTCTCCACAGAGGGCTGGTCACCTCCTCCCCAGGATCTCTCCCAGGGGCTCCTGCCCATCAGTTCCCTGAGATCCCCCCAGACCTGCCACCCCTGTGCCCTAACCCATGACCCCTGACAGCCCCCCCCGCAGACACTAACCCCCGTCCCCCCCCAGAGCCAGCGGCTGGAGGAGCAGCGCAGCGACCCCCCCATCCCGCTGGGGGCCCAGGAGCTCTTCGACCTGCTGCTGCGGGTGCAGGGGGGACGCATGGAGGAGCAGCGCTCGGAGCTCCCCCCTGCCCTGCTGCCCCACCCCTGCTGAGCCCCCCCCCGATGGGCAGGGGAAGGGGGGGCCAAGACCTGGCCCTGCTCGCTGCAGGAATGGGGGAGACAGCAGCTGAAACGGGGAGGGCTCATTCCCTCCCCAGTCCCCCGCTGATAGCTGAGAATGGACACAACTCGCTGTAGAAATGGGGGTCCCCCGCCCCCCCTGCTAACACCTGGGGGCTGGGAATGGACACAGCTCATGACGGAAATGGGGAACCCCCCAGGAAGCCCCGACTAAGGCTACTGGCTGAGACTGGCCCCAACTTGCTGCAGGAATTGGGGGGACCCTGGAGAGCTCAGCTGAGAACAGGGGCCTCAGTGCACAGATGGGGGACCCACCCACGTCCCCCCCCCCACCACACCAACGACCAGGGGCTGAGACCAGGCCGGACTCGCTGCAGGAACGGGGAACCCCCCCACGCCTGAGACCAGCCACGCCTCCTGATGCCCCCGGGTGGGCAAAGACGGGGGCTCCTGCCCCCCCCCCCAGAGCTGCCCCGGGGTGGGGGGGGGAGAGGGGCCAGAGACTCAGAGTTTTCTAAGCTAATTCCTGATGTTTGTGAAAAAAGTAAAAAAAACTGCTGGGGCAAAGGGGGGTGACAGCCTCTGATTGGGGGGGGAGCCAGGACTCCTGGGTTCACTCCGGGGTCTGGACTGGGCAGCGTCTCCCTGCGCCTCCGTTTCCCCCTCTGCCCCCCCCCCAGACATTTTATCCCAGCCAGAGACAGTGGCATCAACTCACTTTATTCTCCAGCTGTGTGTGTGGGGGGGTGTAAATGGGGGTATAAATATGTGGGAGAGGGCGGGGGCAGGGGTTGGTGCCGGGGGGGGTCACCCACCCACCACCTGTCCCTCTGTGACAGGCAGGGTTGCAAAGCCCAGCCTCTTCCTGCTCCATGACATCATCACAAGGCTCCCCGTGTGACATCATCAGTTCCTGGGAGTGTGACATCACTTCCTGCCTGTCGTGCTTTCCCATTGGGCGCTGTCACGTCTTGTCAATGATGTCAGAGCACCTGAGGCTGTCAGTGTCCTGGGTGACATCATTTCCTGTCCACTGGGTTGCACGTTATGACATCACCGCCTTCCGTGTGACATCATTTCCAGGCTGCAACATCAGCATCCCGTGGGCATGTCACCACGCCACGGTGTGACCTCACTTCCTGTCTCTGACATCATCCTCTGGCGCTCGCTCTGCCCGCCTGGTGATGTCACAGCCCGGCATGGCCACACCCCTCTGCTGTCCAATCCGAGCTCCCTCCCCAGCAGCGCCCCGGGGGCGGAGTCACTGCACCAGGGGGGTGGAGTCACTGCACCAGGGCGGCGTCCGATTGGCCGGGAGCTCAGGGCCGGCGGGGCTCGAGGCAGGGGGCGGGCGGCTCCGGCTGCTCCGAGAGGGGGCGGAGCCTGGGGGGGCGGCGGGGCGGGGGGCCCAGGCGGGGGTCGTCCAGCAGGTGGAGCAGGTCGTGGTGGGCGCGGGAGAGGGCGGCGTCGCGGGGCAGGTGACCCAGCTCGTCCGGGAGCTGCCGGCTCGCCCGGTGCCGGAGCAGGATCCGCGCCACGTCTGCGCTGCCCTCCCGGGCCGCCAGGAACAGCGGGGTCTGCGCCTACGGGCACAGTGGGGTCAGGACACTGGGTGGGGGCTGGGAGCCAGGACTCCTGGGTTCTCTCCCCGGCTCTGGGAAGGGAGGGGGGCTGGGTGGGTTAGAGCGGGGGGTGGGGAGCCAGGGACTCCTGGGTTCTCGTCCCCAGCTCTGGGAGGGGAGTGGGGCCTAGTGGTTAGAGTAGGGGGGGCTGAGAGCCAGGACTCTGGGGTTCTCCCCTGACTGTGCTAATGGAGGACCCCACCCCCCCAGTCCGGGCCCCGTTACCCGGTTGTCCTGGGCGTCCTTGCTGGCGCCGCTCCGGAGCAGGGCGAGGGCGGCCCGGGCGTTATTCACAGCTGCAGCCCAGTGCAGGGCCGTCTTCCCTGCCAGGCAAGGGGGGGGGTGAGACAGCGGAGCCAGGACCCCCGGCCTGCCCCCCCCCCGCCCCTTCTCTGCGGCCCCCCCCCGGCACCCTCCGCCCACAGCCCAGCCCCCCGGCGCCCCCTGCTGGCCCCGTCCCCTCGCCCGGGCCCCTGGCGCCCCTGCTGACCCCACTTGTCGGCGGCATTGACAGCCGCCCCGCCCCGCAGCAGCTCCTCCGTCCCACTCTCCACCGCCAGGCGCGTGGCCAGGATCAGGGGGGTGGCACCGTCGCTCATCCGGGCGTCCAGGTCCGTCTGCCGGCAGCGTATCAGGATCTGGGGGGGGGAGGGGTGTGTGCATGTGACATTAGGGGCGGGGCCTCCAGCCCATTCCCCGCCCCCTACCCCATGGGGCATGGGGCATGGCTCTGTGGCGCAGCCATCTTGGATTGTCCCCCATTCCCCAGCTAGGGCCCACTGGGATCTGCCCCCTGCCCGGAATTTCACACTTGATTTCTGCCCTGGGAACGGGGGGGAGGGGGGGAGTCGTACCAGAGTGGGGGGGCTGCGGGTTTGGGACTGGGGGGCCGTCTGGGAGGGGGAGGTTAGGAGGTTGTGGCTGGATGCTGCAGAGATCGGGGCGTGGTTTGCACCAGCCATCAGTAGGGCTCAGAGTGAACAGCCCAACTCGGGGCAGGTGGGGACAGACAGAGTAGCAACATCCAGCTCTCTGCAGGACTAGACAGGGACTTGGGGGACAGATCCCCCATTCCTGTCCCCCACCTCCCACCGCCCTGCCCCCGCACCTGGCAGGCCCCCAGGGCATCGGCCCCGATGGCACTGTGCAGGGGGCTGCGCCCCGCCCGGTCCCGCGTGTTGGGGTCGGCACCGGCATCCAGGAGGCTGCGGACGGCGCTGGCCCGGGCGAAGCGGGCGGCCAGGTGCAGGGCCGTCTCCCCCGTCGCGTCCGTCTGGGCGTCCAGCCGCGCCCCCTGCGCCAGCAGCTCCCCCACGGTGCCCCCCGCGCACACCGCTGCCATCAGCGGTGTCACCCCATCTGCCATGGTGCGGAGAGACAAGCGTCAGGACGGGGGCGGGACTTCCCCCTTTCCCTGCCTGCCCTGGGGCGGGGCTTCCTGTTTTCCCACTTCCTGTGGGTGGGACTTACCTCCGTCACCGAATCCCTATAGGGCGGGACTTCCTCTTTTCCCCACCTGCCCTGGGGGGCTTCCTGTTTTCCCACTTCCTGTGGGCAGCACTTCCCCCTCTCAGCCAACCTCTAGCATGGGACTTCCTCTTGCCATGGGGGGCGGGACTTCCCCTTCCTCTGCAGGCCGGGACTCCCTCCTTTCACTCACTTCCTGCAGGGCAGGAATTCCCACGTGTAGTGGGCGGAACTTCCTCCTTTCCTCTGGGTGAAACTTCCTGTGGGCAGGACATCACCCTATCATCCCCCCGGGGTGGGACTTCCCACTTCCTGTGGGCGGGGTTTCCTCCCCACCCTGTACTGGTTCTGTGTATGTTTGAGGATATAGGGAGGGGGGACCCCACCCTGCCCCTCACCTGGCCCCCTGGTGTCAAGGTCCCGCCCCTCGGGGTCCTCGTCCTGGGGCGGGGTCAACATGATGCATTGTGGGATGGGAGCCCTGGCACGCAGGTGCTTGGGTGTCCATTGCCGGCAGTCCTGGTCCGAGGGGGGGGCGTCAGCCTGGCAGGAGGAGGATGGGGATTAATGGCCCCCCAAGTGTTATCGCCTCCCCACCAACCCCTGGCTTTGGGGCTCCCAGCCCCTCCCTCCGGGCAATGCCCCCAACCTCTCAATGGGAAGACGGGTCCCTGCCTGGCCCCCCGGGGCTCCCAGCCCAGTTGGGGTCACCCCGATACCTCGATTTCCTGAGGGGTCGGCTGCCCGTCGTCCTCCAACTCGGGGTCCAGCTTCAGAGGCCTGGGGGGGGAGAAGTGGGGTGAGCGTCCCAGCCTGGCCCCCCAGGGGGTGCTGGGGGGGGGGGGGTCGCTGTGTCACTCACTTCAGCCCGATGGCGTCCTCTCCGACGGGGTCCCGGCGGCGCCGGGCGTTGGGGTCCCGGGGGCGGGCGAACCCCGCGGGGAGCCAGAGCACCCCCTGTTTCCTCGTCCCCCGGCGGCGCAGCCGGAGCCCGACCACGGCCCCCAGGGCCAGTGCCAGCCCCCCCGCGAGCAGGCTGCCGAGCAGGGGCCAGGGCAGCCGTGGGGCAGAGGCCTGGGGGTCTGGGGGGGGAGAGGCAGGGGGTGAAATTGGGGGCACAGGCTGACCCCCAATGACGGATCCTCCCCCACACCCCTCTTGGGACCCCTTCCCAACCTGGCCCCACTACCCCCCACCACTGCCTTGACCCCTCCCTGTCCCCCCTGGCCTGCCCCCCCTTGAGTATCCCTCCACGATCCCCCCCAGCCTGTGCCCCCCCCACTGCCCTGCCCCCTCCCCAGCCCCCGCTTACCGCTGCTGGCCTCTTCGACCCACACGGCCGCCAGGGGGTGGGGGGTCAGCGCCCCCAGAGCGTTGGAGGCGGCCAGCGCCCCCAGGAAGCGCCGGGCGCCCTCGGGGGTTGTCAGGCAGCGCCCGGCGCAGCGGGACCCATCCACCACCAGGAACACGACGGACCTGGGGGGCGGCGCGGGGTCAGGGGCTGCTGGAAAGGGAGGTTTTGGGGGGCAGGGTCTCTCCCTATGGGGCTGGGGTCCGTGTTGGGACAGGGTGTTGATTGGGGAATCGGGAGTGGGAGGGATTGGGGGGGTCTCACCCGATGGTGTCCCTCTCCCCCATGGCAGGTCCCCGCAGTTGGCTGGGGATTCAGGGGCTGTGGAGATCGGGGGTGGGGCAATGGGGGATTTGGAAGGTCGAAGGGATTTGGGGGGTCAGGGGGTGTGGATTTTGGGGTGTGGGAATGCGGGATTTGGGGGTTGAGGGGATGGGGGATTTGGGGGGTCAGGGGGTGTGGATATTGGGGTGCAGGAATGCAGGATTTGGGGGTCAGGGGATGGGGGATTTGGAAGGTCAGGGTGTGTGGATATTGGGGTGTGGGAATGCGGGATTTGGGGGTTCAGGGGAGTCTCACTCACCCGATGGCGTCCGTCTCCCCCTCCTGGCCGGCTGCGGTGGGCGCAGGGTGCGGGGCAGGGCGGGGGGGCCTCCGGCCGGTGCGGTTCCCCCCGCCTGGCCCCTCGCGCCCCGTGTAGGGGTACAGCCTGGGCCGGCCCTGGGGGTCGCGCCGGGGGCTCAGCCCCACGCGCAGGGCCAGCGCCAGGGCGTGGAGAAGGCCGGGCAGGGCCGGGGGGGGCAGGGCGGCCGCCAGCCCCAGGGTGGCCCCCTCCCCCGCCGGCCCGGCCCCTCCCAGGGCGCAGTCCCCCCCGTCCCAGCCGCACTCGGGGGTCAGGCAGCCCCGGTCGCAGTGTCCGTTGGCAAAGTGGTCGTGGCAGTAGCGGGCGTAGGCCAGGCTGGTGGTAGAGACACGGGTTGGGGGTACACTGCAGAGCTCCCCGGACCCACCCCCCACAGCCCCCCCAGGTCCCCCAGATTCCCCCAATCCACCCCCCACAGAGCCCTCCAGGATCTGCCCCCGCAGCCCCCCGGTCACACTTGGAGACAAGCCCTGAATCCCCAATCCCTCTCAGCCCCCAATGTTCCCCCGCCCGGCAGCCCCCCAGATGCACCCACTCCCCATCCCCCCGATGAGACCCCCCCCATCGCAGACCCCATCCCCCCACCCCAGCAGCGAGTCCGAGCTCAAAGCCGGCCCCGTTCCCGCCCCAGCCCGGCCCGGCGCCCCCCGAGGCCCCTCACCTGCAGGTGGCCGGGCGGCAGTCGTACCCGTCATACAGACAGGCCTCGCTGTCGCACTGGGGCTGGCAGCGCCCGTCGCGGAAGCCCGGCTGGCACAGCTCCGGGCACCCCGCCCAGGGCTCCAGCACCCCCAGCGAGCAGTCACCCCCGTCCCAGGCGCTGGAGGGGGAGCTGCAGGCCGGGTGGCAGATGCCATCCCCCGCCAGCTCCCCGCAGGGCTCCCCCGCCCCAGGCTGGGGGCAGGCCGAGCCACCAGGGGGGCAGGGCGCCAGGGGGCGGGGCTGGAGGCAATCGGGGCCCCCGTAGCCCCCCGGGCAGAGGCAGCGGGGACCGGCCGGGGGCTGGACACACACCCCTTCGTGGTGGCAGTAGTGGGATCCACAGGGGGGCAGCTGGACGTCGCAGGTGGCACCGCTGTAACCCTGGGGGTGCGGAAAGAGGTGGGGGTCAGATGGATAATGAGGAAAGGGACCCAGGCATCCGGCAAGGGAGAGGCAAAAGGACCCAAGTGTCCGGCAGGGGAAGGGGAGCAGGGAAAGGATCCAGGAATCTGGCGATGGAGGGGGAAAGGGACCCAGGCATCAGGGGCGGGGGAATGGGGAGCGGTGAAAGGACCCAGGCGTCCGGCAGGGAATGGAGAGCGGGGAAAGGACCCAGGCGTCCAGTAGTGGAGGGGGAAAAGGACCCAGGCATTTGGGTCAGGGGAGGAGGGAGTGGGGAAAGGACCCAGGCGTCCGGGGGAGCTCACCGAAGGGCAGCGGCAGGTGAAGCCGGAGGGGGTGCTGGCCGTCACAGCGCAGGTCCCCCCATTGGCACATGGGTTTGATTGGCAGCTGTCAATCACTGACTCACACCGGGATCCTGGCGGGGGGGCACAGGAGAGTTAGAACAGGCCGTCCCTGGAGCCCCCCCGCCGCCCAACAACCCCCCTCGACCGCCCCACCCCCAACGAACCCTTCCCCATCCTGCCCTGGCCCCCCGCCCCTCCCCCGCCCACTTACCGTGCGTGCTGGGGGGGCAGGCGCAGTGGGGGCCGGTGGGGCGCTGGGAGCAGGTGCCCCCGTTCTGGCAGGGCAGGGGTTGGCAGGGCCCCCCAGGCCCCGGCTCTGAGCAGTTCACCCCGTGCTGCCCGGGCGGGCACTACAATGGGGAGAGGTCAGGGGTCAGCCCAGGCAGGGTCCCCCCCCAGCACAGGGCCGAGGGACCCCGGCGTCCGGGCAGGGACCCCGGCGTCCGCGCAGCTCACCTGGCAGACGTAGCCCCCAGGCCGGGCCAGGCAGGTGGCCCCGTGTTCGCATGGGTCCGGTTGGCACCGATTGGCCTCCTGGCGGCAGGACGGGCCCCCCCAGCCCGGGGGGCAGGAGCAGCGCGGGGTCCCCCCCCGTCCACGCAGTGCCCCCCGTTCCCGCACAGCTCCTCCAGCCGCACCCCTGGGGGCAGAGCAGGGCAGTGAGCCCCCGGCTGGAGCTGCCCCCCACACCTCCGAGAGCCCCCCTTTCCCCTCCCCCACTGCCCCCATCCCTCCTCATGCTCCTGCTACCCCCTCCCCCAGCATCCCCTACTCCCCCTCCCCCACTCCCCCCATTCCTTTTCCTTGAACCCCCAGACCTCCGGCCCCCCATTCCTCCCTCCAGCCCCCCTCGGCACCTCGTCTCTGGGCGGCCGCCTGGCAGGGGCTCTGCGGCTCCTGGCATACGGGGCCCCCCCAGGCGTGGGGGGCAGCGGCAGCGGGGTGGGGAGGGGCC